TTTTTTTTTTTTTTTTTTTTTTTTTTTTTTTTATCGAAATCGACCCCAAAACTTCGAGTCCAACACAGCGTGGTTTGTTTTTTTTTTTTTTCTTTCTTAGACTCCACTGGGGCCTTTAACTCTCTGTGTTCACCCCTGGCAAATAACTGCGTGTGTGTGTGCGGGGGTGTGCGTCTGTCCGTGCGTGGGTGTACCGCAGCCTGAGTTGCGGCGGGCTGAGACAGACCACCCGTGGCAATGACCATCATCTCGGGCTCAACAAAACCTCCCACCCGAGGACATGACGGGTGGCATCCTGGCGGGAACGGATTAAGAATGGGATGAGGAAGGAGGCAGCAGCGGCTCGTAAAGGAAAATGATAAAATTTGTGGGGATCGGCCAGCATAATCCACGGGAACCATCCCTAGGGCTCCAGTCTGCGAGAGACAGGATTTCCCATTAACTTCCCCGCAGCCGTCTTCATCGCCCGCTCTGGGAGCACTCCCTCGTATCTGAATTCAGGTCCCGGTTACCGTTTTATTTAGAAAGCGACATGAATACCCCTCTTCTTGCTGCTCCCAAATTCGTAGTAATGGGGAAATCCTCTCCGTCCGCCACAGACAACAGCCAGCCTCCTCCGACACGGCTGCCTGGCCGAGCTGGGAAGGAGGCTGGAGGTGAGTCTCCCCGCGAGGCTGGGGTGTCCTGGGCCTCGGGGGAGGCCGAGCTCTCACACCCCCCTGGAGGTGCCAGGGAAATCACCCCCCCAGCAAAGCGCAGCGACGATGCCGCCAGCCGTGGGAAGCGGCACCAGCGCGACACGGGCATAGCGCTGCCCGAGCGCCCCCGCCTCGCTTTGCCTGGCCCCACCGCACAGCTCCGCACCGCTCCGCGCCGCTCCGCGCTGCTCCGCGCAGCGGGATCAGCGCTGGCCCTCCGCCTCCGCCCAGCAGAGCCGGATTGCCTTTCCATCCACCCACCCACCCATCCATCCTTCCATCCACCCATTCTTCCATCCATCTACCCACCCACCGCCTGCTCCTCCAGCAGCCGGACCCGATCCTGCTCCCCCCCTCGTCGCTCGCACAGCCCGAGGAGCAGAGCCTGGCCGCGGCAGGGGTGGGCGGCGGGTCCTCATCCGGAGCTGGAAGGGCACACACCGGTCTAGAGGCTGGCAAGGGAGAGAAGGGAAAGGGACTTTAGCAATGAGTTTTCAAGAAATGGGCAAGCTTCGGAGCAGTGCACGCATGACACGTGTGATGAAAAGCAGCGCGGTCTGGAGCGTGGTGTGGTGTGCGCATGATGTGTGTGTGCGTGGAAACGTGCGTGCGTCTCTACACAGGGAGAAAGAGAGAGAGATTGGTGGCGATAGCCCTGCAAAAATTCCTGGTTTATCCCCCTGACATCAGTGTGCTTATTGCTGGGAGCACATCGTAATCCGTGCATCCAGCAGACCGGGAATCCTATTTGCTTGTTTGTTTGTTTGTCTCCCTGCGTCGTGCCCGTCTTGCTCACAGGGCTAGACAGAAAATCCCAGCGTGTTGCCTATTGCGCTGCCTGTTCCCCCCGAAGCAACGTCACCTCAAATATGCCAGTAAATTCCTTACCGGGTTGGGAACGTAATTGGTTGAATGTTTTCTGTAACCCGACTAGCCAATAACACTCCGAGAAAAAATTTAGAACAACCTAGTTACGACAGATGGTGAAAATGACTTGACACTACACGTGTGAGTCAATATGAACTAGAGATGAGATACTTGCCGCACTCATTAGAAATATCATAATACGCCAAAGAGACTACGTGTGCCGCTATATTTACGGTACAAGGTCCCTTATTTCAGACAAGTGCTGTCCAAATGGTTGCCCTTGTCATTTCTGTTTTAACAACATCTGCTAGCTAGCATAAGCTCTGGCCTTGATAACTTGCATTTCTCTGAGCCTGAATTATTCTTGGCAGACCTTCTTCTTGCAGTTTTTCCTCCTGAAAGCAGATAATAATTTATGCAAAACAATTAATTAAAAAGAAGAAAGGGGAGGAGACGTAAAACCCTCTTAGAAGCGCAAGAATCGTGGAACAAATGGAAACTGCGAAGGAATAAATAAGAGTGAACGATAAACAGCAGACAGCCAGAATAACTACAGCTACGAAAAGTGAAGTAGTTGCACCTTTTCAGCTGTAAAACGCAATAAATATGTAACCGCATTTCCAAATTTTAAACTAACGTTTTAATCTCAGTCAACAGAAAGCAATAGCAGTTAGACGAATAGGAACCGATATTGAACCAGAACAAGAAGTCAAGGCTATTTCTGCATTCAGATGTCAGCAGCGCATTTCCTTATCCTCAAGTTTGCAAAGGATTCTTAAAGCCTTATATATGCAGTTATGCGGAAGCTGATTGCCAGCAATAAATAATGCATCCAAGGAAGAGGCTTGAGTACGTATCTTCTCACTTCCAGGATGCGGCTAGGGTTCTTCGCCTCAATTCTACATCAAGGTTGTGGCTTAAAGCAGTCAAAAGGCTATTTAATTGTCAGGCAAGGCTTCCCCCTGCGGAACTCTCTCCGCATGTTACAACCTCTTTGCAGCTCAGCTCCATATGCATCTCTTTTTCACACTTCCCTCTCCATCTCGGGCTCCTACACCTGGTGCATCACGCATTTAGCCCATTAGCTCCGGCTCTTCCTTTCATCTTCCCCATGGCAGACGTTTCTATTTATCCACTGGCAATCAATGTGTGGCGTCACCGGTGGTACTGTAATGACGACTGCACCATTGAGGATGACAGCTTAGAAAGAAGAGGGCAATGGTGATCCCTCCCAGAGCAGCACAGCAGAGTGTAGCGCTCGCATCACAAGGTCACCCTATCTCACCGCTTGCTCCTCTGCATTGGCAGGAGAGGGTTGCTGGGTTTGCACAAGGCTGGGGCGGGAGCGGGAGGGAGGGGGGGAAGAGATCTGGATTTTTTTCCCCCCTCCCTTAAGCAAAGCCACAATGGAAACCAGGAAGGAGATGGTGATGTTTCTGGAAGGGACACAACTTGGCGCTCTAGTTGGCAAGAGGGTGCCTAATTTGTCCGAAGCAGTGGGGAGCCCCGCTCCGGAGCCGCAGGAGAAGATGATCCATCGGAACTGCCTCAGCCCCAGACCTGGCCCCTTGTCGTCCCGGGAGAGAGGAGGAGGAGGAGGTGGCGGAGGAGAAGACGAAGAGGAGGTGGAGGTGCTGCCAGGGACAGGGACGGTGCCGGTTTTTTTTTGCCGGAGAGCCGCTCGGCGGGGGCAGCACTGCTTTCGGCCGGACAGCAGCCCCCCGCCCCGGAGCCCCTCTCCAGCAAAGGGCAGCAGAGCAGCTCGGACACCGAGTCGGATTTCTATGAGGAAATCGAGGTGAGCTGCACCCCGGACTGCGCCACGGGGAGCGCCGAGTACCAGCACAGCAAAGGTACCCAACTCCTTCCCATGCCTCCAGCTCCCCGCCCGCTCCGGGGCTGGGTCCCCCTGCCAGCTGAGCGAGGGGCAGCGAAGTCGGGGTGTGTGTGGGGGCATCTCCTTTCCTGGCTGACTCCTCAGCTCCCTGCCACCGGGAGGCTTGTTTGGGAGTCAGAGGACACGACACCGGGCAGCCCCCGTGTCCCTGGAGGGGAGCCAGGCTTCCCGCCGTGTATGCATCAGGTCTGCAGCTTGTCCCGTAGGACCCCCTTGGCCAGGACCACCACCCACTCTCTCCCCTCCATCTTTTTTATATTTTTAATCTCGCCCATCGCCTGGACAGTGCATGCTCCAGGAAATCCCTTCCGATCCTCCCCACCGGCGGGTTTTTTTGTATGTGTTGGGGAGGGGGGCAAGATCAAACGGGTTTTCTGGCCGAGAGCTGTTTGTGGTTTTGCAGGGTGAAATGTGCCCGGGCGAGTGCGGAAGCGCCCATAAAGACCGTAAAATCGCTCGCCGACTCCTGCCTGCCCCAAGTGCGGCAGCGAGGTCCTTGTTTGCACGTTGGGTTAAAAAAAGAAAAAAGGGGGGGAAAAAAAAGAGGAGAGGTCCAAATTACCTTGTCACTTCTATGTCTCGGTGGCGCCAGCTCGGAAATGGTCCCAATGAATTAATTGCCTTTGGTCTCGGGCACAATGAGGGAGAGTTGCATTTGAAAGCAAACGCAGTGGCCAGGCCCCTTTCCCCCCTGCCCCCACTCCTTATTCCCCCCTTCCCAGCCCGGCAGAGCCCCCCCCCTACCCCGACAACAACCCACTTCTCCCCCCTCCCCATTCCTCCATCACTTCAAGAAGAAGCCGGGAAGCGCGGAGAGCGCTGTCTGCCCTCTCTTGTCCCTTAGAGGCTCCTTTAAAATATCCCATCCTGAGCTTTGGG